TTCTCTTAACTGAATACCTGTTATCATTCTGTAGAAAACGGTTTTAGCCAAGAGAGAGCATGCATAGTAAGACATTTAATCCTTTAATTGTTTACCATGCAGGTGTTTATTATAAATCATTGAGTGACTTATCAGATCACACTATTTTGTCTTTAACCCTCCATCCCCAGTGTCCTTCCCTCCTCCTTTATATTAACCAGCTCTCCACAGGTGAACTCACCTTTGCTTCAGTTGTACTATCTCCCCCTCCCCTGCTCCTTGTTTGGAGCCATTACTCTTACCAGAGAATGAGGAGCTGTTTTCTTCATGATTGTAGTTTTGCAATACCCAGCCCATAACTTTCAGTGGGAAGAAAGAGCTTCTCTCCCTTTGCATCCCATTTATACACTGTATCTAGTGTCTGTGTAGGGAGTTCCATTACTCTGGAGCTTGGAGGCTGGCAGAGGGGAATGTCAGAAGGGAGGTGGAGGAGATGAAAAGACACGATAGAAGGTTGCGGCTGTTGCTCTTGCTGCAGACGCTCTCCCCTTCGAGAGGAGCAAACATAACATGTTGATGTGCAGTGAGCAGAGATTTAATCACTCATTTATTATGTTTTATCAAAGTATGAAGTGCTGAGCGGCTTGAATACAGAATTAGACAAAGGCAGCGACTTATCAGTGAAATCATGTCATTGCTCTCTTGTTTAGCACAAAAGACAGCGAATGCATGGTTTGCAAAGATATTCTACTCCACCACTCCTGCTTGATGTTGGTCTGCTGTAGCTATTTACAAACATGATCAGTGATTTTCTGAACATGACCTTGGTACCGTGGCCTTAATGAATGTGAATGCCCAGATACTCCCAGGTCAATATGTAACTAACGCAACTTGCTCCTACCAAAAGTCTTCCTGTTTATACCAGCCACTGAGGTAATTCCTCAGTGTCCTATGCTGAAAGGGTTTGATAGATGGCTGTTAGCTTTTAGTTCTTTCGTGGATCATAGAACGCTATTGTGATGTAATCCCGTGTAATTAACCAAAGACGACAGTAACACAAGAGTCATTGTAATATTTAATATCTTTGTGGGATCCACCGGGGAAACTGCAGCTGTATCATCTAAACAAAACATGACGTCTCACTGGAGGCCCTCCAGCAGTCAGGAGAAGGTTGGAGTTGGAGCGCCGGTTTCAGGCCTTTGAGTTAGCTGTTTAGTAATCTTGGTGTCCTCTTCTCCTCCTGTTACCCTTGTCTTATTCAGAGCCTTTCCCTTGTGGCAGGGATCATCATGATATAGACGCAATGACATGCTTGCATGTGTTAGAAACAGGGGGGGACTGTGCGATTTCCTCAAAGAAACGCATTGAGCCGGTTCTTTGTGCACCACTGGAGCACCTAAACAAGTGTTTCCTTCTGTGTGTGTGTGTGTGTGAGAGAAAGCGCTAGTGTGTGTATTTGTGCATACATGCATGTTAGTGACTTCCCCCTCCATCTGCCCGCCTTTATTGAAATCCTTTGTGCATTTAGTAACATTCTGAGAAACGGTGCCAGCCAGCATTTAATTAAGTTCTGGTACGCCAACATCTCCCTGCTGTAACGTGGAATACCTGCTCTTCTTTTGTCAATTTCTTCTCCTGTTCTTGTGCTGCTCTGTGTTGTGCCTACAGTAACTCGAAAAGATGTCGCCTCTGGGAAAAGCAGGTAAAGAAGCCATCAAAACCAACGCGAGTAGAAAGAGTTGCAATCAATGCTCTAAAAAACTGTGGAGTTTCTTTTGTGTGGAGCTCTCCTCCTTTTCCCCCATCTCGCTTTGTTTCCCTCAGCTTATGTATGTCTGCTTGAAGCCTTCAATTCAGTAGAGGCTAGTAGTAAATGTTTCTATCCCAGTAGAAATGGCTGCTGTTTGTTCAATTGTTGTGATAGATTGATGTGAGGTAGGAAAAGATGGGCTTTTATGCACCTGAAGATGGGAACAGAAAAGTCTTTATGAGAAGGCAATAGCTCTCTGTGCGAGGATCCTCTGATGGGAGATGCATTTTGATGGAAGTTTGTATTCATTTATTTTGCAAAGTCTTTGCCGAAAGCTTTCTCGTGTACTCAAACCAAAAGGCTACTTTTCATTTGTTGGTCCATGAACGGAATTTGTTGACCTTTGTATTCGGCTGATTGAAGGAGAGTGAGGACTCGAGTGTTTCCCAGTTCAGGCAATTTACTTAACAAGCTTGGGTGAACGTTGCGCATACTACGGCATCATGATATGGTACAATCTTCACACAGAATCAGGTGGGTTTGTCCTGTATGTATGGTAATGAGGAATTCCTGGCATCTACCTTCTGATTCTAGCCTGTTCTAGCTACCTTTAATGGTGCGTCTACACGCTACAGAGGCTACTAACAGTCCAGAAGCTGCATATGACATTGTTTTTAGTTTTCACAGCCAATGCGAATAACAAAGCCAACACGTGCACAGTGTTCACATTAGTATCAGTACACCTGTAGTTTTCACTTAGGAAAACTCAGCTACATTATAATTAAAGGTGTCTCTATTTTTTTTGTCCTCCCTGGCTACATACATGAGGGTCAGAATATTAGGAACACCTCTGAATATAATAAACATATGATTGATGTTGCACATTTCTGACAGTTCCACCAAAGACTGAAACATTTTGAGCTTCTTAAACACAGATGTTAAGGCGGAAGTGTTGCACTGAAGTGCATACAGATGTACAGGGGTACCTAATAAAGTGGTCGGTGAGTGTTAGAAGTATGTTGTCGGTGAAAAACCTGAGGGCTGGTGCACTAGGTGCTTTTGTTTCTATAGTAACATCTTATAGTATTGAATATTAATGTTAACTGTACAAAATAACCTGATATGAACCAGAGAGAGAGACAGTAGCGTTTAATCGGGGTTGCTAGTGTTGCTTTCATAGTGGGGATTCCATCTGTAGCAGGACTCAAATGTATTTATTGTTTGTGGCTAGAAAAAATATTTTTGTGTCAGTATTTTTTCCCCAAACCCCCAGTAGTTATTTTTATAGACATGTTTGTGGATTGTTCTAGTTCTTTTATAATTTCACTTGTCATCCCATTCATATGCAGCCTCTTCCATATAGTCTTCTCTTTAACCTTTGCTGCTACCTTTTATCCGTCCTATTAGTCCATGATGAGCCCACCACTGGTTCCTGCTTCTCTGACTGAGGGTTAAAAGGGCCTTGAACAGAAATGAGGTTACAGCAGTTGTAAATGATTGGCAGAGAAGGTTGCACATCTATCTGAGAGAAAGGAGGCTGGATAAGTTCTGCTTACATAGCGAAGCACAACCTGTGGATGTAAAAATTAGTGCATGGATGAACAGAGATAATGTTTTTGGATATGCTGCCAGATCATCTTAGGTGTAATGATCACCTACTGTATATGAACGTATGTTAAACTGATAGAAGCAGAGAACACAGAACACTTTGTCTACATCTCGATCTGTCTTCCCTTTGCTCTTTCTGTTCCTTCCCTCTCTCTTTGTCGCTCCTCCTGTGCACCATCTGCATGCTGCTTTGTATCTAATCTGAAGGAGTGCTTTCTGTTCTCTACTGCGATGGTGCTAGTCTGTGCGTGTACACTTGTGTGTATGTGTTCCCAGCCATCACAGTCACTCTCAGCTCATTACCTGACATGATGGATAGAGTGAGTGCCATTAAACACCGACCAGCCCGGGATGCCTGGCACCCTACAGCTGGCACTGAGTAATGGGCGTAGTGGTGGCGGCATGCTTGGAAATCCCAGGAAGTCTTGTGTAGGTGTAACTGTAGTCATCTCCATGGCTTTGCTTCCTGGTTCTGTCCAGCCCCACCTGCCACCTGGCTGCCCAGTGGATGCCATAGGCATTTCTGAGTAGCCAGATAGCATGGGAGGCAATGTTTGTATGACTCTGTCATAGAACTGGCAATGGAGAAAACCCAAAGTGTGACTGGCTCAGACACAGCAGTGAAACACTCACCGTCACTAACCTGCAGGGTAGCTACTTTACACTTTTAATTTTATTTTATAACTATATTTTGCTCACAGTAGATTTTTTTTTCCCAGGCAAACAATAAGGTTTTAACAAAAGGGTTAGTTACACAGTGAGACACGTCATGCTTTGTTTCCACATCAGACTGTAAACCTCTGTGCAAAGTTTCAGCTGGATTCGGCAACGTTTACATCTCACACAATGTCGACCTGCATTGGGCGTCTGAAATTCTCTTCTCTTCAGGCAGTTTAATAAATGTTGGTGCATCAAAATGTATTATTATATTTAACACTATGATGCCATTGTCGTATTTGTTCGATGTTCAGTTCAGTTTTGCTGTCAAGGACATGACTCATCGATGACGCTGCCGACCTCATGAAGGTGGTTGTGAAGCATCACAACAATGTCAGTTGCAAAATCACTTCCTTTGAACTGAATAGGACTGTACCATTATTTCTTTTGTTTCTGCTTTTAAAGTATTGTGGCGACTACAGCGAGTGGAGCGTATTATGATAACTGGTTTCATCAGGCATTGTTGTTTAGATGCATTTTTGATTGAAGGACCTGTAAATTTTAGACTAGAGAATTAAATTGTATCCATACATTCCCTCCTTTTGGGGATTTTGGACCACCTTAGCCTGAATGTGTGCATTTACTTTGTCTTCTGTGCATATGCTGCATCTGATGAGGGAACATTTGAAGGGCTCTTGAGTGGAAGCCGGGATGAGGAGCTGAATGGAGTTACTATGACACCAGATACAAGCACCTCCACTCCAGCAACTTCTTCTATTTCTCTATCGTCCCCTGCTGCTTCGCTCTCAATCAGCCTGGATTTGCTTCATGTTTTCCCCTCTCATCTGAGTCTCTTTTCTCTGCCTCCCTTAGCTTCTCTATCCAGTCTTTAATTTAGTTGAGCTCCTGCATGCCAGTATGGATCAATGTAACAACACTTTCTTGTTCTTTCACAGTCTCATTCTGTGGTTTTGATTCTTTGTTGTTTCCTTTTCTTTCTGAACAGACAACCGCCGCGCAGTCCTGGAAAGGTCTCGTTCACGCCACAATGCAAATCACCAAGCTCGATGATCGCCCGCGCCTACCACAAGACGCTAGATAAGTGCCAAAGAGGCCTGCGAGGCGTAGCCCTGGAAGACATCTGAAGGAGGGACGACCCCCAACACACACACATGCACACACTGCAGTGAATATGGAACAAAAAAGCCTAAAGAATCCAGAGAATTAAAGAATCCTCAGTACAGCACATGCAGACATTTCATTTTCGTGCTGTTCATCAAACATTTTACATACACTCCCCAGCCATTTTATTAGGTACATCTGTTTGCAATCTAGTGCAGCACTTCCACCTTAACATCTGTGTTTATGAAGCTCAAACTGTTTTTGGTGAAATTGTCAAATTTATAAATGGAATCATATGTTTATTATTGAGGTCATAGTATAAGGTGGTGGTGTACTGGACGGCATTATAGTCAGGGGTGTTCCTAATATTCTGACCCTCTCAGTGTCATCCAGTACACCACCACCTTTAACTATAGCCTCATAAACAAACATATGGTTGATGTTATACATTTGACAGTTTCAGCAAACAAACATTTTGAGCTTCATAAACACAGATGTTAAGGTGGAAGTGTTGCATTGACGTGCATACAGTTGAACACATGTACCTAATAAAGCGGCTGGTTGGTGTATTTATTCAGTACTCTCTCATCGGTCTTAAATGTTCATGCCCTCTCTAGATGGTTTGATTCATAAAAAGAAAAAATTCTCTGCATTTTTTACAGCCACTGATGTTTGAAATGAAAGGGTTTCATTGCTTGTAACCCCTTTAGTCAAAGTACATGAAATGTAAAGTGTTTTGACAAAGGACATTCTGCCAAGGACTGCAACCATAATGTATGTCTAGCATCCAGAGCAACACACTATTCATTTAACAAAAGGGCAATGGGCCAGCTGTGCTTGAAATGGAAGAGAGGGATTCAGCATCCATGTTGGCAAACCTGAAATCTGCTGATGTTTTCTTAAACAAGTCACTGAACTCTTAAGAGGGAGTTATTGTTTAGAATTATATTTCCCCCTGTCACTCCCTCCTTTAAGCAACATCAAGACAATTTTTACTAGTAACTGTACCCAGAGACCAAATGAATCATTTTAGCCACATCCCACAAAGCAACCAGAGCTGGCCCCTGTCTGTGCCAATATGTCAGAGCATGTGACTCATGGATCTCGAATCTATCATCTCCATTTTGACAAGATGCAGTTGATTTTGTAGTTGTGTAATATCTAACTAATGCCTTTAGGTGCTGATCTCTGTCACAAGGTCACATTTGCTGAGAGTGACGCATTTCTAAATGCATGCAAGTCACAGAGAATCGAACACGAACCTCTTGATCTTCCCTGCAGTCACACAGGTTTTCACTGGGGGACGTTTCATTATAAAAAAGGTGTTACAACATTGTTAAGTTCCTTTTTGGCCAGTTTTTTTTTTAAAATCATTGAGCAAAATTTGGCATCTAATTACTCCCATATGGATTGTGCTATAAACATTAATACAGTGCAGCTCATAGAGGATATTCCTGCTATTACTTTTGGTGCTTCTAGCTTCAGTGATTTTAAACTACATTTGTAATGTGTAGGGGAGGAATGATACAGCTCTGCTGAAAGTGACTGTTTTCAAAAGCCTACTGCCTTGGCATGTACAGCTACTAATAGTTTTAAAAAAGACGATACTGATCTTTTAAAGTTGTTGTGATTTCTTTTATATTGAGTAATTTTAGTCAAAAGTTTTTGAGTGGGCAGAAGGACTTCTTTTAATGGGAGAGGGGGGGTCTTTCTAAACTGCTCTGAGTTCCTCGGCTTTTACTGGACAAGCTCATGCATTACATTTCCATAAAATGTTGCCATAAGCCTCTTTTTTTTCAGCATGAAAACACATAATCCACAGGAGTGTATGTCCTGTCATATTCTTTCACTGCAATGTCCCCCCCCCCCCCCAAAAAAAAAACACACACACAATTTATCCTGCTCTCACAGCATCATTTTTGCTCATATCAGAACATCTGTTTTTATAGCAGAGCGTTGGGATTCGTTGGGAACAGTGAAAGAATTTGACTCTAGGACATACAGCTTTCAAAAAAGACTCAATTTTGTGACCCCTGTGTTTGTGAATGACTCGCATTCAACACACAAACCCTGGTGGGCGGGGTTACTTTCTTTAGCGTTAGTCAGCTCGACACAGCCAGCGTGTGGATACATCAACCTGCTGGGGAACAGGGGACTAGAGTTTGAAACCATGAGACATGGTACAACATCAATTTAACATGATAAGCTTTAGAATTATTAGAAGCATGAGTCTTGTTTGAAGACCATCAATTCAACACTGACAAACAGTTTGTATCATTTGTGTTGGACAATGTTTACGTGGTTACCTGAGGGTGATCTAAGCTTCGCTGTCGGTGGACAACTTGCATTGTGTTTACTCAAGAGCGTTTTTCCCCTCGAAAAACTTCAGTGATGTTTTATTTATTTCATAGTTAACCTTAACAGTAATCCTTTTGTAAACCACTAGGCACAAGTTAAAACTACATGAACCAGCAGCACCGACTCCCACAACCCAAGCTTTTCCTTCAAGGCATGTAAATTAATCTGTTTCAATCTGTTTTATTTGAAGGCTCTGTAAAGCAGTCCAGGTATTACAGCTATTTGGAGACCAGTTTGCTCCATTTGTAATTCCAACAGCAGATTCTCAATAGATTTGACTAAAAATCAACAGAGAATCTTTGGCTCAAACCCTAAAGAGCTGTAGGATCACAAAGTGTAGACTGTGTGAAGGCACAGCCAAACACCTGATGCTTGGTGTTTCTGGTTCACAATAAGTGAAACTTCGCTGTAAGCTTTGTTCGTCTGTAAGGAGCCACTGTCACACACTGCCTTCACGTGAGCTATATATTCATAAACTGTAAGCAGATGCTACTAGAAACAACCAGTGAATCCACATGGAGAGTGAGTACGACCAGGACAGTCGACTGATGGGCACAACAGACAAAGCTTGGCAAGTGAGACTCCGGACGCCCTCCAATTCACCAACAATAAATGTCATGTGACCCTTTTACCACAACACCTATCGTTACTAATATCATATTCCTGTTTGGGCAAGAAGTGTGTGTGTGTGCACACCATGCCAGCTCAGTAACCAGAACGGGAACCCAGGCAAAATAGGATTCAGGGTGCTTGGCTCCTCGGCTGAGTAGATGGAGATTTTTCATTTAAGCAATCTGACAGTGCTACTTGTGGCGCGTCTGTTTCATGTCACCTCCTCTCTGTGCCTGCATGCTACTAAAAATGCAATTTTACACCTCTCTGCCCAAGGTGCATCCACAATGCTCCACGAAGTCTGCATATTTAAGAAGACAGTAGTTCTCTGAATATAAGGTTCAAGCAGCACAGAGAAAGCACAGACGATGAGGTTTCGGCACAAGGATCCTGCACAAATGGGAGAAGTGTTACACACAGCAGAGAGAGAGAAACAAAGTGATTTGCTTTTCTAATTGCAACTTGCCCTTTGTCCTCTGCACACCCACACTTATAGCTACACTTCCAAGTATTGAATAGGACCCTTTGAATATCGGTTCTCCATCAACACCAACGTCTGCTATGACATTTGGGGGGATAAGGATAAAACTAAGGTTCTGTGGCAAATTTTTTGGCACTCAACAGCGAAATTGAACGTTTGCTAAGGATTCGCATTGGGATTTTGCACTGGAGGGGGAAAAAAGCAGTATCACAGGAGTATGTGTGTTTGGCCTCATGCAGCACGTTTTAAAACATTCCCATTCAGAGACACAAACAAGGGAGGAAACAATGGAAATTTATACAAATACTCCGACCGCCTGATTTATCACCGCTGCATCAGAGGGAACCGTGGCTAAAATTTAAGGTCAGGAGAAAGCAAAGTGTAAGATTTGCAGCCACTGCACAGCAGCTGTTAAGTCGTGTTCACATTACATAGGAAAAATGGGGGTGTACGTGCTGTGCGTTCTGTGCTGGTTGGTGCAGAAACTCGCATAGAAATGTTTTGCTAAATAAATAGGTCGTCTGTCTTTACCTGATCTCGATATGAGGACCATGTGTCATTGTACACTTCAGGAAATTCAGGAACAACATAATTTGGCTAATTATTTTCACGCCAGTTCAAGCACTGATTGGCTACGAGCAAAAAAGTCAGCACAGCCGGGGTCAAAGTTGTAGGGGTCAATGTGAAGTTTTGGGTGCATCCCCGCTCTACGCGCAGCACACCACATACACAACACGCAAAAGCTTTTTCCACAATAATGTGAACACGCCATTATTCATCTGAGACCTCGTTTGACTTAAGGACGTGAAGAGGGAGATCATGGTTGTAAATTAAGACGAGAACACGAGGGACTTTCAGGTGAAACCACACTTCAGTTACAAAATAAAAGATGGTTTAACTGACAGAAAATGACCTGATTGCTATTCTGAAATATGTTTGTTGATTTCGTCAACCATATTCAAGTTCAGTGGCTTAAACTTTCTTCTGCGGTTCCTCTCGGCCCACACGTGCACAGCAGCCGACAAGCACCGGATCCTAAGCGGAGGTGTATTTAAATTAACACTGCTGCAGCTGTGCTCATTTACTAGGGGTGGGAGAAAAAATAAGATTCACACAAGAAATACGATTCATATCATAAAATGGTTCTGAATCGATTCACAAATGCTAAAAATCGATTTTTGTAATAAGGTAACGGAACAAAAAGGTCAGTGCAGCACAGATATCGTATACAAGTGCTGTAACATTAGATTATCTTCAGTATAGGAAATTATTTGAGCGCATCTTAATGACTTTGAGCTAATGGGCGTTGAAAGACAAGTGTGGAGGGTTGTGTGAATACTCTGTAGCCATTAGCATCATGGAGAACTGAATTTATTAATGAACCAGAGCAGCTCAGCCACACACTGCAGCGCTTCAGTCAAACAGGACAAAGAAAAGACCGTGTTTCTACAGAATGTCACTCAAGTATCAGCATCAAAATATAACCGACAAAGTACAAAAAGTCAAAGTATTCATTGTGCAGAAAGGCACATTTGTATTATTGGATTATAATTACTGATTATTGTGTTCATCACATTTAATGCTGGTGAAGGTGGAGCTAATTTTAACAACATTTATGTCGAGTACTTTACATACAGCTGGTAGTACTTGGTTCTGATGCTCATTAGAACTCTTAAGCTTCATTAGCAGCTCAGTAAGATAATCAGTAGTTTAATACACAGTGCATTGGAGTAGGGGCCAAATTATAGTGCCCTTTTTCTTGATTCTGGATTG